GAAGCCAGAGCGCTGTGGTGTGGGTCCGTGGCCGGTCCCTCAGGACAGTGCGCTGAGACCTGCTGGCTGCACAAGGAGTCGCGGGGACCCGCGCTTCCCTCCCTCCGAAGAGCGATGTGTTGGAGCCCTGTGCACCTGAGCTGCGCTGAGTCTGGGGGCAGCTGAATGGGAACCGCGGGCAGCGTGAGGAGGACTAGCTGCCTTTTCAGTTCATAGTTAGTGTTCTGTGGCTGTAGAGCAGACATCATTTCCTTCAAAAACATCCGGTGACATGTACATATACACACACACTCCTATATATATATATATATATATACACACACACACCCACCCATATGTATGGGTACTTGGAATACATCTTCCTAGAAGAAAAAGATGTATAGCGCATCCTAGTGCATACAAACCTGAATTCCTGTGCTTTGCAAGATCTGATTTAGGGAGGGAATCTCGATTTCTGTTTTGGGACACTGCTTGGTTGTTACCACTTCATACTTTCATTTCTTGTTTTTTGGAAGAACAGCTACTTGAATACAAAAAATGTGAAACTTGTTATAGCAAATTACATTACAATAAGACTTGAATCACTTTGGTTCAAACATAAACAGATATTTCAGATATATGTGAAATATCACGATATGAAATTCTTGCAGACGTAGATAATTTTAGAGGTTTAAGCCTTACCATTTTCAAATGTTATTCATTACTCCAGTAGCAGCCAGAAGCTGTGTCCTGACATGCTACATATTGTTCAGAGATATGTCTGAAACGATCCTTGAAACGATCCTTGCCACAGAGGTCTTACAGCAGAATGTAATTAGAGTTCTCTATTTTGTAATGTACTATATTAATTAGCAGTCAAAATCCAATTTTTAAAGCCCAGCTTTGAAATGTATTTGCCCTTCAGGCCACATATCATACCATCACAGCTTGAAACAGCCTGTTTCGGTGAATTGATCATAAAATAAACTAAATAAAATACATGTCTGCATGTGTATTCCCATTAGAAGGAGGGAGAGGACCACTTGCCTTTCCCTTTTAAAAAATTTAGTGTTTGTTTTCAAAGCTGAACGTCCAGGCTCTGCAGTATCTCTGTGTTGTTAAATGAAGTAACAAAATAAACCTTTGCAGGGCAGGCTGAACTTGCATGGAGAACAGGGAAGTTATTTCTGCCAGGTCTGATGAGCGAAATAAAAGTGTGACATTTGGTGTGGTCAGAATCTGTGCCAGACTGTGCCCTGCCTTGCTGGGGTAGCCGGCTTGGCCGCTGGGATCTCAGTGGTACGACAGATGAGGAAATCTTCTGAGCAGTTTATTGTTTATTCTCAGTCATTTTTTTGTTCTGTGGAAATGGTTTGTTCCTCTGGCCAATTTCAGGTTTTGATTGCTGGTCCTCGTTCTCCCTCGTCCCCTCCTCTCCCTTTCTGGAGTGAAAGAGAGAAGCCGGAATGCACGTTGAACAGTGGTCCTAAATCTGGCTTCGCCATGAACGCTGCTCGGAAATTTACGTTTTCATGCTGGTGGAGGGATACATGTGAATCTCGACGATCTTCCAAAGATTTTTTAAATTAAAGCAAAGCTGTTGCTTATCATTCATCCTATCGTACAGGGGCGCAGGATAGCCAAAGTCTAATACTTCATAAAAGAAGTAACTTGCACAGAGCTTCCATTTTCATCTAAACGGTATATATTTTCCATCCTGTCTGTCATTTTTTCTGGCCTCTTCTTTCCCTTCTCTTCTTCCCCGTTCTGCAATTTGACAAAACCATTTTTTCAAAGTACGAATACACGAAGTTTGTATGGCAAGGTCACTTGTATTTTTTAGGTGAAGTACAGAAATTAATATAATCTTAAAAAGGAGATTTCTTTTAATACATGAAGATGAGAAATAATAAAAGCATGTATATGTTGATGTTATGGGAGGACTTTATTAATACACTGTGAAAACTCACAGGACTCTTTAAATAATGTAAATTTTGTGTGAGAAACTTCTCCACAGAAAGAGGAAAGTCTTGACAGAGACTGAACAGTTATCTGAGTAGTTTTTAAACTGCTGCTTTCCTAAGAGTAAAAATAAAGTACTCGTAGCCCCATTCCTTAAGGCAGAAATCCACCCCCTCTGTGTGTGTCCACCTGAGAGAAGGATGAAATGCTCTAACGTTGTACTGGCTTGGCCTTGGAAGACATCAGCGGGCAGGGTTCATCGTACCAGCCTTTGCTAAATATGGAAACTTGCAGTAATTACCGTGTTTATGTCTGCGCTTTGACAAAAGCCACCCTCTCGGTCCCGGGAGGGGGTCTGAGGTGGCTGGCTGGGGTTGCGGGGTGGGGGAGCACCGTCCTTGGGCACCTCGAGGTGGTGAGGGGTGCCCGCTGCCCGTCCGCTCCCAGGGCCGCGAGCTGAGCTACCACCGCGTCCCTGGGGGAAGAGCTTCTCCAGATCTGCGGTCCCAGACCTGTCACCTGCGTGACTCTGAGGACGAAGGAGTGAGAACAGCGACTTTGGGTGCTGCAGACCAAGAAGAGCGTGGTACAAAGAAGTCTTCAGCACACTGACGGGGGGTGCTGCTGGAGAACCCGCAAAGGGCAGCAGCACGGCTGGTGGAGGTGGAGTGGCCAGAAAGCCAGCTCGGAGGAACCCGCAGCCACCCAGGGACTGGAAGTGCTTGTTGGCCAAGTTAAGCCATCCAAATAAGCCAACTAAATCGGGGGGGAGGGGAGGTATTTCTCAACTTGAGCAGAGTTTTGTGATTTATTTCATGATTTAGTGCCAGACAAAATGATGTGGTCAATGGGAAAAATCATTGCAGATTTTTCTACGTGTCTCTGAAGCCAGGTTTCAAGTTGATTGCAGAATCATAACTCTTCCTACATATTTCTGGCTGAAGAATTTATTGTGAGCAAAGCCTTATGCATTCTGTTGTGAATTAGATATAATTCTTGGGTCACAAACTGCATTTAATAAAGAGAGGTTTTGTTGAAATATTTCATTCAGCATTAAAGCTCTTGTATTTTTTTTTCTGTTTCAGCAGTTTTAGTTTCTAGCATTAGGGCTATTTTAATCATTGTATCATGGTGTTCCCCTGTGAAGCAGGGGATTTTGACAGTGAAGAAGAGAAACTTAGTTGGTTTGTCCTCAGGAAGGACATGGTTAATGATTAACAGGAGTTAATTCGCTGGTAACTTTGATCTGTAGCCTGTCAACCATTCTGCATGTGCATTTCTGTGAAACACAGCACTCACAGTACTGATTGCCAGGGCAGAGTTTTGAATTACAAATATCTTCTTCCTTATGAATGAATTTCCTTAACAGGCTTCCCAGTAATAAATAATGCACTCAACTATGTTGGTGCGTTTCTTTACTTTTAATGACTAGTCATCAAAAGGCCTAATTTTCCCTTGGGTATATCCACGACTTGCTTCCACTGAGGAGAGCTGACGCGATGCCGTCCCTCCTGTTCTCTGCTGGGAGCTGAGAGTGTGGGAGAAGCCGTCGCCGGGGGTGCAGGCATGGTACCACCTCTCGTTCTGGTGGTCGCTTCTTACCCCGAACGATGCTTGGGTGAAGAATCCGTTGGACACCTGTATTTGAGCTCTGGCTGTGCCAGTTCCTATGTGTACAACACATCACTGAAATCGCTTTAGAGATAGGCCAGTTAATTCATTATAAATGTCTCTGTGATGGTCGTTAGCATTGCTGGCGTTACTGAGTGTTAAAAATAGAAATATTTCACAGTGCTGTTCAGATTAGAGCAGATGGTGTTAGCCCTGACTTTTGGATGAAGAACAGCAGCAAGCAGGTATTATGCTCTAAAGCATTCCTTGTATGTTTGAGTGATGTACCTCGCACTGCACACTTGATCTGAAATTACTGACTTTTTCAGTAAATGAAGGGTTAGACATGACGTTATAGATGGTATAATTCTAATTTCTGGTCATCTGCCTTTTATTGGAAATGAATAGTACAATCAAAATCAGTTGGATAAATTTTAATTGTTTTTTTACTGTTTGTACATCTTGATGTTGTGATTTGTGTTAATAACACGTGTAGATGCTTCAGATTCAGATTCATCCTTCAGAACAGGATGGGACAATTTGCATTAAAAAGCCTGCAAACACATGGGATTAATTTGTGCACAAGTTGTAATGGTTACTGTAAAAGTATAGGTAAGGCAAATACCTCTGTTGACAGGAATCCTCCCTTAATGGTGAAAAATACGCTGTGGAGGTACAGCTGTCTTTACACAGTGAGAGAAGTAAGCGGTGTTGACATGCAGAATTTTTAAACAGGTGTAACTGCGTCCCTATTCTTCTAGCTTATTGCCTTTTATTTCCTTTTTGTTTTTTTTTCTTTTTACTTCTGCCAGTCCAAAGGCTGTATGTGAGAAGGTTGTGATGTGACAGTTGATAATTTAGTGTGTCATTCTGATTTATTGCACATTACTGAACCCTATTTTGAAATAGAGTTACTTAGCTTATAGTCTTAGTTGCTGTGGTTATGCATAAAGTAATTTTGGCATGCAGCAGTCAGAAATCAGTGCTGAAGACACATATTTTGCAAATTCACAAGGAGGAAAAATATATTTTATGCTGTGTGTTCACTCTTGTTCCATGTGCTCTCACTCTGGCAACCTCTGGACTTGGGCTGGGCATCCTCAGGAGTACAGGCAGAAATAATTCAAATGGCTGGAATCGGAAGCTTTGTAGTCCCTGCCTCTGAAGAAATTAAATCCTTGCCTATATTTATACCCTGGGGGGCATGACAAGAGGGTCATGTCAAATGAAGTCCACCTGATAGTAGGACATGTGTTGATTTTTAGGTGAATCAGGTTTGGTGCCAAGCAGGTTGATAGCTTTCCTTTACTGAAGATAGAACTACTTTCTCCGCTTGGTACATTTAGTCTGTTATCAATTTCAGTAAGTGCAGTAATCATAATGTTGAATGTATTATAGAAACATATTAATATAAATTAAATATAATTAATTTTATTTCTCTTTTTCAGGAGAAGTGGATGTGGACTGGTCCATCTGTAGTAAAGACTTAGAGGTAACACAGACAATCAAATTGTTCCATAATCCTCTATTTCTATGTTTATTAGCAAACAGAACAAGATAAATGGGATTGAAAAATCCACCTGTGGTTTTTCTGTGGAATCCTTAGCAGTGTCCTCCCAAAGGCAGGCATAGCCTGAGCTCTCGTGCAGTAGGAAGAGGTTCACTTGTTGGGGCAAGGACACGAGCAGAGTGGGAAGAGGATGCTGGGAATCAGAGCACTTCCACAGGCTCTGCGAGGAGAAACTTGACCCTTCCTTCCCACTCTCTTCAGGGACTAGTAATTGTTTTGTGGTAGCTAAATGCCATTCCCACAGGTGTCAGGATGAGCCATCTGTGTTTGGCTAGCCTTCCCGTGCTCTCAGAGGTTGGGCTCTGCTGAGGATTGGTACAGTTAGGCTGTAACCTGGCATGCTCGCGCAAGGTGCCGTAGCATCGAGGAAGAGTAAGCCTCAGCTGTAAGGGCCAACTCCTTTTCATTTCTCTCAAGGTTCAGTAAAGTTTACATAATCAGGTGACATTAACAAAGTCTTTCCCTTAAGAGAAATGGTATTTTTGTACCTCTCCCATTCACTTGTCCAAAATTCTGGTTTAGTTTTTAAACATTGTGAAGTTTACTGAGCAATAAATGTTGAAGATGCGATTTTCAATTCTGTCTGCCTACACAGAAAGTATGTGTGAGGTCACTGGGAGAGAGAGAGTTGTTTCCAGCTTCTCTTTTTTCTTCTTTTTTCCTTTTTAAATCTTTCTTTACAATTGCAAATTGCAGATTTGGTCTAGACTTGTATTGCATTGTACTTTGTCCAAGAAGTTTCCCTTAATGTGTGCAAGGAAACGTGTCACTTGCATTTGCAATTAATGTTATATTTGTATTCTGGGAAAAATTCCAGTTCGTCAAGAAATAGCATAGTGAACAGAAGTGTCTTGACTAATCAAGGGAAAGCAAAACTTCATAACTGCTATTTTAAACAGCAAAACCAAACTGTTCTGAAGTGGAAGTTTGAACAAGACAATACTTTTATTCTAGACAATGCAAGTTTCTCTGTAACGGAATTATCCAGTTCAAACCTGGATGTGTAAATTTTACTTGTAGAAAGTTACATTTCTAACTGAATACTACCAGTAGTGACCTTTACAAGTTTCCAGTTCTAACACTAAATCTCAAATGACAAATACATGTTTCTTTTCTTGTCTTCCCAGGCACAGATCTCCAACTATGCAAGTGTGAAGCATACTAGTATGCGGTACTACACAGCTGATAAAAATGTTACCTGTAGAAATTGTGATAGACCGGGTCATTTGTCCAAGAACTGTCCTACTGGAAAGGTAGGTGCTACACTTTAATTACTTGTAGATGCAGCTCTTGTTTCTAATACTATTGGTGCTTGCCATTGAAAGCATTGCTTTATTATTTCATTGAAAGTTTGCTCTAGGTTGAAGGATAGCTTGCACAAGACCAGTTTACTATGTAAAATTAGCTGTCTGTTTTCTGTAGGTCATTGCTTTTATTATTTTTATAAAGGAAAAAATCTGTAAGTATAAACTAAACAAAAAGAGAGTCAAATACAATATAGAAACATTTTTTTCCCATTGTATAACCAGTCTTAAGGTGTCCTGGTTTTGGCTGGGATAGAGTTAATTTTCTTCCTGATAGGTGGTATAGTGCTGTAGTTTGGATTTTGTGAAGCAGCCGAGGACTGTCCAGCTTCTCATGCTGGCCAGCCAGCGAGCAGGCTGGGGGTGCACGGGGAGCTGGGAGGGGGCACGGCCAGGACAGCTGACCCAGGCTGGCCAGCGGGGTATTCCATACCATATGACATCATGCCCAGCATGTAAAGCTGGGCAAAGAAGAAGGAAGGGGGGACATGTTATGCATGATGAAGCCCTGCTTTCCTGGAGATGGCTGAACAGCTGCCTAAAAAGATGGGGCGTAGTGAATGAATTCCTTGTTCTGCTCTGCTTGCGTGCGTGGCTTTTGCTTTACCTATCAAACTGTCTTTATCGCAACCCACGAGTTTTGTCACTTTTATTCTTCTGATTCTCTCCCCCGTCCCACTGTGGAGGAGTGAGCAAGCGGCTCTGAGGTGCTTAGTTGCGGGCTGGGGTTAAACCACAACAGCCAGCCGAAAACAGTGGCTGTTACCCACTCTGAGACTTTGAGTGACTACATCCCACCCAGCTGAAATGTAAGCCCTTGGAGTGAAGATACACTCACTCTCTGAGAAAACTGGCTTTAAAATGGCCCGGAATAGTTTTCAGCATTTTACATTTGTCGGTCCGTGTGCTTATTTGTGTGAGTCAGAAGGCATGTAGCCATGTAGCCAAGGGGTTGAGGCAGGCTGGCTCCGGGTGGCAGCTAAGCCCCCAGTTTTTTTACCCCTTGTGGGGTGGGGGAGAGAATTGGAAGGGCAAAAGCAAGAAAAACTCATAGGTCAAGACAAAGATAGTACAGTAAGTAAAGAAAAACCCCAGTAATGCAAAAGCAATCACTCACCACAGCAGACGGATGCGGAGCCAGTGCCCGAGCAACAGCCACTGTGGAAAACCCACTTCCCATGCTACAGATATCCCTGGGGTCAGCCGTACGGCTGTGTCCCCCACCAGACTCTCGCCCACCCCCAGCTTGTGCGCTGGGGTCAGGCTGGAAAAAGAGAAGGCCTTGAGCTATAGTTAAATGTTGGTGTGTTATCTAAAACACAGCCCCATACGGCTGCTGCTGTGAAGAGAATTAACCCCATCCCAGCCGGACTTAGTGCAGTGGTCTATGGCACAGACCGTATTTGCAAACCAGTCCAGTATGTTGTGTTACATACTGTACATCGTGTTCCTGTGATACAGGTCTGTTTTTCATCTTTTAAGAAATTTCATTAAAAAGAAAGTGTTCATACAGCAATTCTGCTCTAAGTGAAATATACTTTCCAGTTTAATGATTATTTTTGCTGTATTCATGGAGCAAATAACATGGCCACTAGGCATTTAACAAGTGCTTCTGATGCAAGGTCCAAATCAAGAAAGCACAGGGAGTCTATGGAGTTACAACTTTGCATTTTACTCTATTCATAGTCTTCCTTCACGTCAGTTCCTTGATGAAACATAACATCTCTGCAATTCCTAGTAAGCAATAGCCATTTATTTGGGGTGGTTTCTTCTGCATTTCCTCTTTTTTTTTTTTTCCTTTTCTTTAATCTTTTGAAACATTCTGACTTAACATAATTGTTGTTTTATCTCTCCACAGAAAGTACCTCCCTGTTGCCTGTGTGCTGGAAGAGGTCATCTACAAAACAGTTGCCCAGCACGTTTTTGTTTGAACTGTTGTTTGCCTGGCCACTATTTCAAGGAATGTCTTGAGAGAGCCTATTGGAATAAACAGTGCAATCGCTGTGATATGAAGGGACATTATGCTGATGTGAGTATAGCCCATGGCAAAGAGCTCATTTATTACTGGTTTTGTATCTGTCAAAAACTGAATTTGCAACAACCACAGTCTTGTCATATTTTCTTTCATTTTATGTAATGCATATTTGTATAAGGATCTGAAAATATTGTAGTTAGTCATTATGTCGCAGTATCACAGTTTTCATGAAGAATGGTTCAAAGAAAACAAAGTGGAGTGGTAAATGCTCAGTTTTTAGTTTTGTCCAGTTTAGTTAGGGTGGAGAAAAATGTCCTCGATTCTGTTCAATGGAAGGTGTAGAGAAATTGAAATTAGGAGACATGGTATGCTGCAAGCATGTGAGCAAGAGGTAGAGAATAACTGATGCTCCAAGAGTTTCAGATATGCATTTTTTAACTATGATCACATATTCATCAGTGAAAATAAAATGTCTAAATTGGTTTTGGAGGCATTTATAACTGTGCTGTATTTTACGCTGCAATGTACTTTACAGACAAAATGGAAACGGTGCACGTTTTTTCTTATGCAAGTGTAGGTGAATAAAAATTTTATTGGATATTAGCTTATAAGGAAGCAGGTGTACAACCATATTCACATGCCTTAGCTTAGTTTCTGCCTGCTTTTCAGCAGAGTCCTGTATTATTTATGAACATGCCAGAAGAAAGATAATCATGAAATTAATTCTCTCTCTACTTCCATATCCCTATGGACAGGCCCATCACATATATACTGTAGGAGAATTTGTAAAGTAGTGGAGCAGTTGCAAAATTGTGTATTTGACTATTAATGAATGAGTAACTTTGGCACAAAACCAGGTATGGAAATATTTAAAATGTTCAAGTATCTCAAGGATAATGAAGTATGTTAAAGGTCATCCAGATACAGTGTATTCTCTGCACTGAAGACTAGGCAGGAGGAAAGGTCATGGGCCTTCATTTGGCTGAGACTTTTTTTCTCAAAACTTTTATAATTTAAACAGTACAATTATGGAAACACACTCTTTAGTGCACGACCTTTCTTAAAAGCATTTCTTCATTTCTTCTGAATGCATTTTGAAACAAGTAGAAACTGTTTTGCTCTTGACAGTCTGCCCAAAGCTGTTGTTACTGCTAGTGAAGGTTAGTAGATGTAAGACAGACAGAGAGAGGCTTTATACCAGGGCCAGTAGTGACAAGACAAGGGGTAACGGTTTTAAACTAAAAGAGGGCAGATTTAGATTAGGTACAAAGAAGAAATGTGTTACGATGAGGGTGGTGAGACACTGGGGCAGGTTGCCCAGAGGAGTTGTGGGTGCCGTGTCCCTGGAAATATTCAAGGTCAGGATCGATGAGACTCTGCGCAACCTGATCTAGTGAATGGTGTCCCTGCTCGTTGCCGGGAGGTTGGAAGTAAATGATCTTTAGAGGTCCCTTCCAACCCAAGCCATTCTGTGGTTTTATGATACCACATAGTAGGTTAGGTCAGTTCTATACTAATTTCCAGGAATCCTGGATGTGACGAATGTAATGTCATGCACCATGACTGCATGCTCTGAAAGAAATCTAAAGATTTTGAACAGGAACATTTAAAATTATTACAAACATGATGTAGCCTAAGTAAAAGCTTCTATCAGTATTTCAAAATTAAATACACATATATATTAACAGAAGGTTTTTTTAAAAGCTCAGAGAATTCACAAACCAGCAACTTTTGTTTTATTTTTTAAGTATGGTGTACCTCAAAGCTAGACACCACTGGTTTTTAAATTTTTGCTTCCTGGATGAATAATTTCATGTCAAGTTTCAGTGCAGGACAAACTATTTTGGCAAGAATGCTCCACCTCTGAAGGAGAGTCTTACATAAAAGCATTCTTTAATATTCTTAAGAAAGTGTTAAATGCTATAGCAATGGGAAGTTTGGTAGAAGAATGAAAGAGATTGGCAAAATTTTCAAGGTTAATAACTATATTTAACATTAAAGACCTTTTGCATTACAACCAGGGAGAAGTATATTGCAATGATGATACCATTTTACGACATTAAGTGATACTAGAAAACTACACTTGGAAAGATCTTGTATTTATGTGCTTTTGTGTGTGTCTACAAAGCCTTTCCCCGGTACTTCTCCTATAGATAAGTAGAAAGCGCTGAATTGAATTTTTAAAATATGAAGTAGATGAAGATAATGACTTTGCAGCAGGACACTTAATTCAGGTTAGTAGGAGGTTAAGGTATGCCTGTAACATGAAGTTACACAAAAAAACCCAGAAAGGTGAGGATAAAAGGCAAGCTGTGATAACATCAGCATACATTCCTACTTCATATTTCATCTAAAGATATGGCTTAAATGTTTGTCTTCCAAGTACACCTGTTCAATTCCCTGAAACACTGGGGTTTTTTGATATGCAGAAATATTTGAATCTCTTTCTAAATATCTCGTCCCTACCTTTGTTTCTTCTATTTGGTCGAAGAATGGAAGAGATCCTCAGAAGGCCTTCTCCTCCCTTTCACCGAATATGGAAGTTTATCTGAATAACGCTTCTACCTGGTAAAGCTTACATTCCATAACCTCTGTCATCGTATTCAATCCCAGAATCATGGAATGTTTGAGTTTCAGTGGGAGGGTTGACCCTGTGGCTTAGCAGTCAGACATGAGAGACTTCCCTTCATGTGCTTTCTGAGTGTTGTTTCCGGGCGGTTGGAGAGGGCCGGTGCACTGGGCTGTTCATGTGTCCGTACTG